TATTCTACATATGGTTTCAATTTTATTATAAAAAAGTTGTATACTACAATAATACGATACAATTACACATTTTCACCCTTTTTTGGTATAAGTACATCCACGTATGATTATATTATTGTGTACAACACTATGACTTTATATTCAATAACATTTCTGATACTTTGTTGTGTTATGCATTATTTTCTATTTATATGTTCGTTATATTAATAAACAATTTATAGAACATCGTAAAAAAAAAGTTAAATGTAATACATGTATTAAACCTAGAATTTGTCGAGAAATATTTATTCTATTATTTTTAAACATTTTAAGAAAAATAATTTCTGACAATTACTAATAATCTTACAAATTTTTTAGATATGTATAGGAGAAAACAAAGCATTATTTTTAATAAAATTACCTATTTTACCAATTTGAAACGTTGGAACAAAGTAAGTAAGAAAAATGTATGATAATATACATATATGTCGAAGACCATGAAAACAACTAGAAAACAGTAATCCCTTATTAGTAACAAGGTAATAACAGTCTTAACAAAATATTTATTTCGGTTGATTTTTTTGTTTTCATTAATCTCCTTTTTACCTTTACCTTGGATATAAATTAACAAAGTGATAAATGACTCATGTATTCCAACCAACTGGTCGGCATATCTAGAGTAACATGAACAATGGTATACACTATTTACACAACCTAAGTTATATATAATAATTTTTCCCGTTACGGATATACAATTATATTTAACTGCAAATTTACATAGAGCAATGAGATTGTTAAATACAAAATATTATACAGTTGTTGTTATTCTATTTGAAGGAAATAAAATAAAATCAAGACTTTTTCAACTAGTAATTTTATCGTCTACACAAGTGCATGTGTAACTTCCGTCGTCATTGTATTGTTGACAATAAATGATTTGCGTTAAATATGTTTAGAGCGATTTAACGCCACAAAAATTATTCATAAAATATTAAAACAAATTAAATACATTTCCTTAATGTTCTTTTTCAAAATGTTATTATTAAAAGTATTTACTGTATACTTTTGTATAATTTTGGTTTGATAATGAAATACTGAAATTACCGTGTATTTTGATTTTATGCTCTACATAACCGCAAGCAGATTATAAATGAATACCAAGCGAAGAAGAAGTAGGTTACAATTTAATTCACTTACATGTTTTTTAATGTTAAAATCTATATGCCCACACGTGATAAATGATCCATAATACCTGTACATATTTTAAATGAATAAAAATGTTAAAAAAAATTGTTTTTTCTTCCATAGAATTACAAAAATCGATAACTGAAGTGTTGTTTTATTTTTATATCGCGAAATTATTACTCAAAACGTATTTAGATGATGTAAAAAGAAGTTAATTACATTTTTATCTCCTCATTTTCACTCTATAAGTATTGTATTTTCCAATATATTATGTTTATTCATTGTTTCTTATTCACGGGTCATAAATTTATATTAATGTAGAATACTGCTAATGTAGTTAGACTGCTTATGACTTATATGACAAACTAAGTGCATTATAGTATTAAAAAATTATTAAATGTGCTTAAAAATTACAGGTAGAACCATTTTTTTTCGTTTCATACATACATGTGCTTGGTTTATACACTTTTTATAATACTTTATAATACTTCAATTTTAATTGATATTTTACACACTTATTAGTGGTCAAATACAGAATGATTAATTTTTAAATGTTACTATAGCAGTTCCCTACAATATTTAAGTACCTGTGTAATGGTGTATAATATAATGTTATTACAAACAGAACTAGCAGATACATTCAGGAAAAAAATACCTAAACGATTAGATAGATATTACTCCATAATATCTTACTGGGAATTACACGTTTAACAATAGAAAAAATATAATGGAAGTTTTAATTTCATCAGTTTAACATTATTTATAAAAGCAAACTAAAAAAAAAATAAAAAAATAAAAATAAATATTACTAACTAATAACTAAGTTCATAAAAAGTATTTATAAAATATTTAAATAAAAAAATGTATGTATTCATAAGATAAAAATAAAAAACAATATTATTAAATAAAAATCTATGACTCTTTAATTTAAAATACAAAAAAATACTTATATTCATATCTACCTATATATTTAATATTTTTATAGATATAGTTATCTATTAACAATGACCCTCGAATTCGGCGATTGTAAACTGCAAAATACAAGTAAACACAAAATCACACATGTTAACTGCGCCCGAGTTTTTATCAAGTGTAAAAAGGTGACATGTAAACTGCGCACGGGTAAACTTCCAGGTAAAATACTTAATTCCTTACAGCCATATAATATAAATGATTAAAAAAAATATAATTTTGAAAAGCAAAATAAATACAAATATTACAATTAATAACATATGGTGAATACATATTCTTTAATTGGAATTTGACCACTATTATATTTATTAATTAAATTTTCTAAGTTTTCGCGTTTTTTTTTTTTTGTTTTAGAGTTTTGGAACCTAAACGGTTCATTTATACTATTTAGTTTAATGTATACTTCTATTTAAATTTCTTTTGACTTTTCTATGAAAATATGGAAATATTTGGATAAGTTGTAAAAAAGCTGGAATTAAAGTGAGAATGAAAAGACTCGCATGCATTTGTGGTTAAAGTTGGCTCTACTGATGCTGGAGTTAAATAATCCGCAAATCGTGTCACTCTTTGATTTCATTAAATAACTAACAAAATATTCAGATACACTTCCTGGACTAAGAAATGGTAAACCGTAACATTGAATTAACCATCTTCTAATATCACTATTTTTATTTTTATAGTCATTACTTAAACCATTTTGTTGGATACTTCTATTCCAAGACTGTGCTAAATGAAAGCGACATACATAGAGACTTTAACAAATCAAAATTTAATAAGTTAATAAGTCCGACGCAGTTTACACTATACCTTTTTAACATAGATAAAATTTGGGGCGCAATTTACATATGCCCCTCAAATTGCCTCCCAAAGTTAGCTAAGTAACCTTTTTTCACTCGAATTGCTTCCGGAGGCAATTTGAGCATACCTAAATAAATTGCCTCCCATAGCATACCTAGATTATTAATTAATATATCGATAGTTGACGTGTAGGTAGGTACTATCGATTATTTTATCGATTTCCGTTATGTTTAAAAATATTATTTTTATGACATACAGTATTTCCCAGACAGATTAAATTGTCGAATTTCAATATTTAGATTAGATATAGATCTATTGGCAAATAAATTTAAACCTCGGAAACATATAACAAGCCTAATTTAAATTTTTGACTATAAACGTATTTTTTTTATTTTTTTTTTTACTATTTTTATTATTATTAATGACTGTTGTATTGTTGCTGTAAAACATAATGCTATTTTATATAATTTTTTTTTGTTTTATTGATTTTTAATTATTTTAATTATCAACCTTAATTAATATTAAATCTAATGACTTATTACTCAATTTATTTAAGATTATAACTCCCTCCTGTCACATTTAACAACCTAGTAATTCCTTCGTCAGACGAAGTAAAATACCTAGGGCTAATATTCGACAAACGCCTTAACTGGAGCTCGCATCTTAAACAAAAACGTAAATCAGTGAACTCCAAACTTCATCTTTTGAGACCCCTATTAAAATCAAAACTTTCCTTAACCAACAAACTTACGATATACAAATCGATAATCTGCCCAGCTAGGCTTTATGGCATCCAACTATGGGGGCCAGCAAAACCATCAAACACCAAAACCCTCCAAGCATTCCAATCCATATGCCTACGCCTAATAACCTCTGCCCCTTGGTATGTTACCAATAAAAACCTCCATAAAGATCTGAACATGCCAACCCTTAACGACCTAGCCAAATCCTATTATTCAAAATTCCACTCAACGCTCCGCGCTCATTCAAACCCCATCATTAAAAGTTTATCCTCTACCTCTATCATTCCTAGAAGATTAAAAAGGCAATGGCCAATCTCCTCAACACCTAACTACAATAAAAAAAAAAAAAAAAATCATTAATTAAACAAATTTAAACCCTAATTTCTGGTCAGGTGGCACTGCTGGGAGCCTTCCTTCTCTTTTCTCTTGTTATTTTTTCTTTTATACATTACTTATCTACTGTCACCACACTTACTCATTATACACTTATGTATAGATTGTAAATATACTTTATTTTTAATAAAAAAAAAAAAAGATTATAACTGCAATCATGTACCTAATACCTATGTATGTCTTTAGTTTTAAAAAAATCGAAACAGAAATCGATTCCTATGCAAAAAGGTCATTAAAAGGTCACCTAAAATAGGAGACAATTCGAGTGAATGATATTTTTTAAATCGGTAGGCGATTCGAGTAACCTTTTTTAAAAAAAAAAAATTATGGGAGGCAATTCGTGTGCGCCCCTATTAACAGGAAAATATTTAAAAGCTATAACCAACTAGAAGAAAATGATCATTAATCATAAACTTTCGACCCAAAAATGTTATGTACATTTTATAATATTTTTTTGAATGTATACCTACATACAATTTGAATTACTTTTATATAAGTATTTTTTTAAATTAATATATTTAAGAGTCATACCAAACTCGGATTTATTATGATCACCTATTTTCATATTGTACGCATTCTATTTAGACTTAAAAATTGGGGTGAACCAAAAATAATTAAGAATTAAAAAAAAAATTAAAATGAATAACAATAATTAACAAAATGTAATATTTTGCAAAAACAATAGAAAACCACTTATTTCTGACAATTATAAATTCTTTTTTGGATTCTTAAATAATTTAACATGAAAATAGAAAAAACATTTTTAAATTATTTTTACTGTCGAATATACAATCTGAAATATATTAAAACTAAAATCGTTTATAAGTATACAAATGTATAATATTATAAAATGTCATATACCTATTTATAAATGTGTATAAGTAGTGTATAAGCAATGCGCATTTAACTCGACACCTAATGACGACTTACTTTACAAGGATGAAAAAAAAATCCAATTTTTCGTTCAGATAAATCCAAAAGTAATCCAAGTGAAGAAATGAAGAAAGAGAAACCAATAACGCGACACTTAATAAAAAACAAGAACACGTATAAATTCACACACAAAAGAGAAGATTGAACTCGGATTCGATAAGAAAATTAAAAGAACTCCATTTGTCGTTAGAGAATATTAATGAATTGACAGACTGATTCAACACGAGAAAACGAATGGTGAAAAATAATTGATCGTCACACGCACAAACACGATGGCTGGATCGACGGTGATCATAATACGGGCGACGGGCGGACGCGGACGAAACGCACTAAACCACATACACGCGCGCACTGCCGTTCTGTGTTGACGGACACCGGCCGTCGACGAGTCATACACAACAGTACTGGCGGTGGCCGCCGCCGCCGTAACCGTCTTTCCGGGGCAGGTAGGTTTACAGTTTTTAAAAATATAATGCGGCAGTTATTCACGCTGCACCGGTGCGGGTGCGGGTGCGTGTTATTCACATTTACTTCTTATGCACCGGTGTGCGTGAGTCGCGGCAAACGGTGGCCACTCGAGAGCGAGAAGGGGACCGGACACCGGTGAGTATAAAACATGCATACACACGCTACGTAAACGTATATTGTGTGTTTGTGGGTTGATAATAGTCGGCAGGTGGCGTCTTACCTCCGTTATTGAGGACTATGACGGTTTTACTATCCGTCTTTAGGGACGTGAAAATGGGAATTCAAAACAAAAAATACGAAACTTTATTTTGTAATCTTTATACAATCGTATGTTCATACACATTTATTTTTATTCATTCGTATAGCACGGACAATGTTATTTAATGGTGAATAGATTTTTTTGTAATAAGCCGGTAAACAAATTATTAAGTAATATGTAAACATACTATGAAGAAAGATAGAGAAATAATAATTTAATAGGATTTAAATTTAACTATAACAGCAATAGAATAAGCAATTATAAGATAATATTCAGATTTTTCATCTCATTTATGGGTTCCCGTTGAACTTTCTCTTAAAGCACTCTCGTATGGTATGAGTATAATCTATATATTGGTTGAGAGCATCACAGTCACATCCTGGGTTAAGAGTCATGCTACATTTATGCAGGGATAACCCGTTTGGGCTCAGTAAAAGAAATTTACCTGAAAATTGTTGACACGTTTGGGCGTATATATGAAAACACTTTTGTGCACAATAGGTACTGTAACTAGTAATCGAAAGTCATGTGTAATCGAGTTGGTTTCGTACAATAAAAAATTGCAAACATTTGTTGAAACATTACACCGAAGATACAGATACTGGAGTTTGACTTTAACATTTTTTGGTTTGAGTTTTTTATCGTCTGATGAAGTTAAATTTGGTTTTTTTGAGCTTATGTCTATAGCGCCGCTTATTGTAACCGACTTTACTGATTATATACTTGACAATTATATATCTGAAGATTCACAATGTCCACCTTTTATTTGGACTGAAGAGCCAACAACATACCAAAGAACAACTAATGGACCGGAATATTTCCATTTAAATTATAACCAACAATTTTATAAGCAACATCCAAATCATCAAAATGTTATGAATGTATTGATTGAAATTCAAACGGAGATCAATTTAAAAATTAACAACATTGAAAAAAATTAATAATAAATTAAAAAAAAGAAACTGAAGACATAGCAAAATCGTCAAAAGAAATGACAAGACTTTTCATATGATATATTAAATGTATTTATTTTATACATGCATTTTATTCATGCATAAAATATTTTTTTTATAAAAGTTGAATACTAAACGGTAAATTTAGATTAAGAGAATTTTTAAATTTATTCCTTTTTATTTAAAATAACAAATATAGAATTTATATGTGTTACATTTTTATGATCACTTTACATATTTAAGATTTATTTAATTTAAATTTATGAGTAATAAATAAAATTTGTAGTATGGGGGTTGGGGCCCTTATAAATAAAATTCTACCTGGGCCCTTTAGAACCAGACCGACACTGCCTCCAACCCTCCTTTAATACACCTATGTACATCAGCGCAATTATGGATACGTTTGCATGTATCTAAGCAACGGAAATGTACCTACTTTCAACAATTTAAAGACATTTTCAGAAATTATTTTTCCTAAATTGCTATACATTTTTTTTTTTATCTTGTTAAAATGTTGTTACATACGAGTTAGTATTTACATGTATCTCAAGAAATGAGTAATAATTTCAGTCGTGGATAAAAATAACATTTTATTCATTTAAAATGACATTATACGCTTATTTTTTACCCGTTTCTTAATACTCACTATATTCTAGTATAGTCAGATTTTTCAAACAAACCACCTGTCGATTTCAAATAAAAAATAAAACGGTAATTTCCAATTTTAAATGAAACCCAAAGTTATTATTTAATACAATGCTCGTCGAGTTTTAAATTAACATTTTAATGAATTCAACCAAAGGTATAGCTACAAATTTCATCAGAAAAACTACCAATCACCAAACATATTTAGTGTTACTAAAAATGTAGTGTATTTTTAAATTTTTTTACATGTCAAACTTTTTATCTTGTTTTATGATCTTTAATTAAAATTTATGAGGTGAATACAAAAAAATTAATTAATTAAAACTAGTGTTTGATAGAAAAAAATCTGTGTCATTAGTAGAAAATAACAATTTGAATACTTAGAATATAATTAAAAATATATATATATTGAAAAAATAAAAATTTGAAAAGTTATAAGCAGTATTGTATTGAATGTATTGAATCATACATGGGTCAATTTAAAATGTCGTTAAAAATGAATATATTTGTTAGCTAAGAATAAGTGGAATTACCCCTTTAAACCACCTTGAACTTCACAAACGTATAGTAGAACGTTACAAGATTGTTGACATATGATCACTTCTATACACACTGATTAGAATAGTATCTAATTCAGGTGGTATATCAAGAAATAACATTGCCAACGAACAGGCAACGGAAATGACCGGACCGGATAGCCTGTGTAAGAATAGAAGTAGTTGTTATTAGATTTGTTAATTTTCAAGTGCTATTGGTGATGGGTGAGTCTCTAGACCACATAGTTTTACGCATTATATATTAAAACCAAAAGCCAAAACTATATAACAATTTCAGTTTTTAGTTTTAATTTTTAATTTTTCTAAACAAATACACTACCAATATTGTAATAGGTAGTAATTTCACGAAACATTTCATATATGTATTTATAAAAATTATTAAAGTATAAATATATTATAGGATCATCGACTTGACGATATGCACATTCTAAATCAAAGATATACAAAACTTTCAATTTATATAAATTTATTAAATGTGATTAGCGATGATAATAAGTGTCAAGGACGTACCCGAGGGAGGGGGGATTTGGGATCTAGACCACCCCATTGAAATTTTTACATACTCAACAATTTTATAGTAAATAGTATAATAATAGTATATAGGTAGTGAATTTTAATTTCCCATTATCTTCAATATACAAAGTATATAGATTATATATTATACCTACCTGTAAACCATACTATAATATATTAACATTAATTTGTTGATATTGAGTTAAACTATAATTATAATTAGAGAACAAATAAAATAAAAATTTTGAACCCCCTCCCCCATAAAAATTCCTGGGTACACTCCTGGGAAATGTATTTTAAATGTTATTAATTATAAGATCCATTTTAATAAGAAATATTAGGTATCTATAATAAGTGTTTATAGATACCTTACAAATATAGGATCAAAAATGGACCATGAATGCGAAGTAGGAAAGTTGTTCAAATGTTGAATGTAATTGGTTAAACGAAGTCTTGTAAAGAATACTATTATTTTATAGGTACTTGGAATACATATTCGAAAAAAAAAGAATTAATGTATTCAGAATACGTATTGTAATACTTCTTAAAAAAATAGATTCAGAATATATATTCGAATACTTGAAAAAGTATTCGAATTTTATTAGAATATTTTTTTCTCATTAGTTTTTGTCAGTATTGAAATGATTGGAAACTAGCGTTTATAGTCAATAAAATTAATACAAACATAATAATTAATAATACATCAATATATTATATTTAAAAATTGACAATGGTTGTTGTATTTAAAGTATTTACTATTTAATGATCTAATATATTTTTTTTACATTATAATTACGTTACCTTATAAATTTGTCATCTCTCATACACCCCATTTTTTTTGTAAACACAGCACTTACAACACTTAACACCCTTTTAATGGATACACTACTTGAAAGAGAAATGTTAATTTTTTTTAATACCTTTTTGGCTTCATCTGAATTGGGTCCCGAATTATTTTAGGTACTACACTAGTTGGGTCCTGAATATTTTTTGGTAAGTACTACATTATACTAACGTTTTCCTTCCTATTTTAACAGACTTAGGACTGTCTATGATCTATTTAGACCACAGGTATGGTTAAAAATGTTTTTATAGTTTTTTTTTTTTTTTGTTTTTTAGTTTCTTTTCCATTAATTTTTATTTATAATATATAATGATTTTAAATTTTTTAATTACCTATATGGCTATAATTATATTATATAATATGTATTTTAATACTTGATTTCTAACATTTTTAACTAGGTATACCTGTGGTCTAAATAGATCATAGACAGTTTTAAATCTGTTAAAATGGTAAGGAAAGTATTAGTATGATGTAGTACTTACCAAAAAATATTCAGGAACTATTGTAATACATAAAATAATTCAGGACCCAACCAGTGTAGTACCTATAAAAATCCGGGATCTAACTAGTACACTACCTGTGATTAGCCCCTAGT